GGTGATTTCGATGTATGGAAGGTTTGAACTCATGGACCTGGCTGGATATGTTACTGAAGCTTGTTACTGTGTAGGTCTGAACAACCATCTACTTCCTCAGACCTGTCCTAACGATAGGTGCTTTCGGCATGTGCAGTTCCTGTGGCATATTGTGATTCAGCTGCTTTTTTAGTGTTTTCAGAATGACCACGTCTCAGGCTTTATCCTTGGGCACAATCCTCAGTTGTTCCAGTCATTCGTGTATTCGGAGTGCACTCGATTCAAATTCCACTCGTGTTAGAGCTACACAGTGCTGAATATCCTCCGGTCCAACAGGTAGTTTATCTCTGGACCTCTTGCATGAAAGGCGTTTGTGCTGTCTCTATGTTTCCAGATCGTATGGTCGATTAGATGAACTGAAGGTTGTGCGTGAAGTCTAAAAAGTGTTCTTTCCGAATTCCCTTTTTTTCACACACGCACTCGCTACTCGCAAGTTATCGTGAGGCAAATATGCATTAATAGTTTATCCTGGAAGATTTAATAGGGATGATGCCGTTTGGAACGTTCAGACAACAACAACACGACCGGGATAGTTAGCACCGAGACCGAGACGGAACGAGCGGTAGGACTGATCACAAACAGAAACCGTAACGATCCAGTGACCGAGAGTGAATAAAACACCAATAAGTCGGACTGCGGTATCCAGCACCAATTCCCACAGAATCGGAAGAAAACGCCCTACGAGAGTAGTACAATCCCGGAGCCCCGAACCAGAGAGAAGACGGAAGACAGGCGCCTTCAGGTGAGGTGTATTTGGCTCGACCCCAAAGGTGATGGCTGTGGACAACTGCTCTGTTTATATACAGTTTCGGGACTGGCTAGCAATTACCTTGAAAATTAGCTCGAAAATATATAAAGTTATGAAAGGATGGACCAATTATAATCAACTGTGACCGGTAGTGTGGACTGAGATTTTCCAGTGCTAAAATTCGGAAGTTCAAAGTTTATAAAAATAATTAGGATACTAGAGAGAAGAAAAAGGGAATAATCACTTTTATAGGGAAAAACGGTCTTTTCCCTATGAGATGGACACTGATTTAGTAGGAGTGGACAGAAAATATACAGTATATCTCTTCGTGAACTAAAAGACTTAATCGCGTTTGTATTTGTTGCGAACACTTTTACACTTTTTGTAAAAAGCAAAACAAAATCAAACTAGGCAATGGTGGCATTAGAATGCCCAATTTCCCATCAATCTACTTTCCTTTTGGTCAGTTATGACCTTCTCTTCCCCCCCTCTATTATCCGTGTTTGAAATTTCCGCACAGGTTCTGGTTCCAAAGCTCCCGGAACTGTACGGTCGTATGATCCTTGTTCGCATTGTCGAATGTGACAAGTTCTTCATGCGGGCAGAAGTTGTAGACCCGGGTCCGTTCGATTCGCTGGTCCCAAGCGATAAGACCTCTTCCATCGAGGCACAGCTGACACGACTCAAACCGTTGGCATCCGGCCACCTGCGTTTCGGAAAAGCCATCGTGGATCATTACAGTAAACGCACACTGTTCGCGTCTCCAAAACCACATTGGGTAAGTTACAGACCACGGCTTTGACTTCGGAGTTTCTGATATCACCTTGTACTGTACCATGATTTGAATGAATCACCTATCTACCTGATCATGAGAATCTACACCGAATTCTCAACAATCGGTCATCTACGTCTGTGCATTTCCTGCAATTGAAACGCAAGGCTACAATACAAACGACACGGTTATTGCACTGGGCACACGAAGGTGCATGGTCAATGGTTGTAAAAACCGAGACCCACTTTTTATTTGAAGTTTGTTACTGGACTTGATAAAATTTTTCCAAAGAAATTCAAGCCTTCTCACCCATTGTGGTTATCGTGTATCATAGAGATGATAGCAAGCATATCCTAGCGCTGTTCACTGTTTTGGAACACATTCGGCACCGATGTGACTATTTGTTACTTCTTAGTTATGAAAACCTGAGTTTACGTGCTGTCAACGTTTAACTAATTTGGCGCAGATAGAATCAACTACGTCTATCTCTATTGCTTTTCTCACTGTGCTAATTTTACTTTCCTGCCCACAGTTGTTCCACCTGATCCTCATTGTCCTGGTCTACGGTGTGCTCAAGTTCTGCGAATCTCGTGGCTATCTGAACATTGAACGATCCGTAGGTGCATGGTTCACTCGAGATGGCTAAGCGTATTCAGATCTACGAATTTCATTGTACTCCTATTTCCCTTCTCCGTTTCCCCCCGCCCCGCGATTGCCCGTTCGTATCGTTCAGATACACTTTTGTCTTTCTGTTGGCAGTGATGATGCTGAGGAAGAGTTGGTCACAACTCGTTCAATGCACTTGTACAGACAAACATGATATCGGCTATCCAGGGAACAGAACAAATTTTTGGTCTCCTGTACGCTTCTCTGGTTTTTATTTTGAATTATGTATTGTTACAGGATGTGAGATGCAATTTGAACCTGATAAATCAAACAGAACAATCCCCGATCCTCTTGCTCTTATCGGTTCAAGATGGAAAGTAATTTGTCGGAGGAAATCAGTAGTCATTGATGTTTTTTAATATTGGCCAATAGGCTTGTTATGTGATCAGTTAATGCAGTCGCGATCGCCGAAGTTGGAAGAGGTGTCCATGAAACTGGATGTCCTCCTGTCCAAGTGCATTCTCGGTCGAAATGAATTGTCGCTGTCAGCGGTCGTGTTCGTATTAGGTGAATCGGCTTTGTGAACTGGGTCTTGGCTAACCGAGGACTCTGATTGCGAATCCGTAGGGGAATCATATATTTCACACACGACTGACGCCAGACTGTGCCAAATAAATCATAGTTCAATAATCATAAAAAAGAAAAACGTTCCTTGATTTACCCAGGCCAAGGCAGGGGGTTTTCTTAGAGAGTTCACAACCGGAGCCTTCGGTTAGCCAAAGCCTGACCCGCACGGCAGCGGGGTAGTGTGTGAAAACCGCAATCCATTTGGAGCTGGTGACAAGTTAATTGGATCATACATCCTTTGGATGGGGTCAAACGTCCAAGGTGCCCAATCGAGCCGGTAACCACTGTCACTAAATATTACAAGTATCACATAACCATAGATTCATTGTTCGATGTCCAATCGGTGACCATATGGCTCGTTTAGTTGCTTTTTTGCCTTTAGCCAATCTGATTGATTCTACTTGAGACTACAGGGCTGGTCGGGAAAGCTGTTTCTCGATTGGTTATCTCGAAGTTGAATTGTGGTGCTTGCGTACTCATCGCGCAATCACCACAATTTTGCGGGTAATAGTTCGCACCCAAGTAATTGTGAGAATCATGCATTTAGAAGAGAATAATTGTACATTGGTCTTTCAAAATATGCCGAGTAGGGACTGAACAGAAATGGACCAGTAACGATCGAGGTCTGGTTAACAATAACACTGTGAGACTTCTTGACCGATCGGGGTCAAATTGATCGAATATGATTTTCGCCTTTGTGCTGATGAGACCTCGCTGACGTGACTAAGACAACCAGATGAGTGCCACCACTGCGTTTGATAAGTGGGTTCTCTTCCCAATTCCCGATATTTCATTTTTTTACTTTTCTGCAACTTTTCGGTAGATGATAGCCAGCACGATTATACCTTGGAAACGATAAGCTCTTAGATCGTTTACGGCAAAAGTTGGAATCAGACTCATGCCCCTGTGGTTGCAATGGGCATTGCGACAGCCCCTCTTGTAGTTGGTTGAAACAGTCGATTCCCTTATCGTGTTTGGGGTACGGTTTCGTTCTCCTAGATACAGCGAACTGATTTTACATTGTAGAAACCCGTGTTTCTGGCTTCTCGTTGCCAGTTCGTCACGGAGAAACTCTACTTCTAAGTCACAAGGTACTTAAAAGCCGCAGTCGTCCAGTGGCTTCAAGGGCTTTTCTCGCACTGCATCTGGAGCCAATGGCTTGAGTTACATCTATGCTGTTTCACGATCAGGCAGGTGCACTGTGAAGTTCGTCATTGTCTTCGTTAAGACGTCTCTCACTCGCGAGACAGCCACTTAACAACCTCTTCTTTCTTGTTCTCACAAACCTGACAGCGATAGCGCATACCCTCTCGATCGTCAGAATATGCGCTGTTCAAATAATTTGATTTTTTGGTTTGAAGCTTTAGGGAAACGGCCACACTTTTTATGAAAAGATATTGCAAATAATGCAAGTCTGTGAAACATTAAACGAATCCGTGCAAATTACGAACTTGATACCGGAATTCTCGATAAAGGGTGATTTCACACAATATTGACATTTCCCCAGAACGGATGGATGAAATTCGGTTGCATAACACGCATTGAATACAAGGTCTCGCTTGGATAACAAACCATGGATGGTTGTCTGGTCCTGTCATTAATTCGTTTACTGAGTAATACAAACAGACCTGGACCGCTGGTCCCGGGTCGATGTCTTGTGAATGTAGACAGCTTTTAGTTCATCTATTGAATTTGCCATCGTCTGCATTATACTTCTTTTTTTTCCCTGATGGGGAAGGTAAAGAGTTAACTGGATGAATTCATCGTTCTTAACCGTGGACTTCACGGTTGACAAACATTTTGCCCAATTTATTAAACGGGGTTCTCCAAACTGTCACTGTTTTCCATATTCTCTCCTAATTCGGAAATAGCCTCCGTTCATACGTCTGTCAATACTGACCTTACTGTTTCCTATTTTCAGTGCACATGTTACTCAACCATATAGCCATTGTCCAGCACATTTCGCAAGTTGCTATAAATATCTTCATCCGCCTCCGTCATGTTTTCTCCGTCTACTGTAATTTGTGAATTATGGTGAGACTTTACTTGTCACGTGGGTGGGGAGGGTTATCTTGCAAACAGTATGCACGCACTACGGTAAGAAATCAATAAACGGATTTCCCGATCAATCCTGAGATCTCAGGTAAAATCAATCGGATTATCTGAATGTAACAGAGCAACCAAACGAGCCATATCGCTTTTGTTTGGACATCGGAAAATCGACTGATGGCCATTTGATGATTGTGATATTTAGTTGCGTAATTTCCCGAACTGTCTCCACAACTCGTCTTGGTTCTGCCTGACCATGCTCGTTAGTAAGTCTTCAGTCCGAGTTCTTGCTATTCAATTCCGCATACCGCTGAGGGGTACAAAACATTTATTGATACGGCTAATTGAACCGCTGCTGATCAGCGTGTCGACCTAAGCTGTCGCTCACGTCTGTCAAAATGTGTTGTGTTTCGGAGGGATTGAACAGACTTCACACTTAAACCGATCGTGCAACGTATTTCCAATCCCCGTTGGTGCTTGTGAACACATATGCATGCACGCAGGCACACAAGAAGTTATCAAAAAGGAGAGAGAAAAAAAGGGTTAAAAATGAGTAGACAGACCAAAGACAATAGAAAATCAATTTGTAGGAATTTGAAACTAAAACAATTGATTCGGTTAGTTTTTTTCTGTGTGCTTTGAATTCCAAGTGAATAAATATCTGAGTGAGAATTCAGTAAGGAACGAAAGAGAAAAAGCCTGAAACCCAATCTCAGATTTGAGGCTGAATGAGAGTCGGCAATTGTTGAGCGATTCTCGGAATGGGGATAGGAATGGGGGAGGAATTGATCAACAGCCGCCTCCGACCTGTCGTGTGGCAACAGGCCGAACGGGTGCGCTCTCGATTGGTGCGTGTGCGTGTGAACGCCGTGTACGGATTGGCAAATGATTATCCGCAAGGCTTGTTCAGCAATGACTGGTGCAGTTCGATCAGCGTTTGGTTTTCCGGGCTCCATTGTCTGCTTTATTCGGTTCGGTCAAGTCTTCGGTCGGTTGTGCCCATGATTGAACTTCTCCGCTTGTTAGTATCAGATTGAGCAGAGCGCCAAACCATGCTAAGGCGGTGGATACACCGAACACAACACGCCAATTCTCGATTGTGGACTAGACGTGAACGGGAAGGGGACAGAACGTGGATCAATCCATCAGGACCGTTTTCGGAATCGCAGTAACTGCGTACAGTTGGCGTACAGACCGATACTAATGAACGTAAGATCTCGGTTAGTAAAACGGTTTTTCACTTGAGATCGTTTTGGATCTGTGTGTGTTTGTAAGTAGGCCAAATCAAATCTGCATTTAAGTATGCCCAAGAAATTAGTGATGAACTGAACATTGAATATTTTACGTTGGCGTGGCAGATTATTGTCAGACAGGTGGCCTAAAACTGATATAAAACGTAAGAAGTGCAATGCAAACTAGTCTGAACCTTAAAATATAAAAACCTGGAAGCTGCACTCAATCGGCGCAACTATCGGTTGACCAACGAATAGTGCTGTTCATAGCGATTTCAAGATACTCAACAGAGCTCATCTTGGATAGATAACGGTGATTTGTGACTGTTAAGTCGGAAGGAAAGGAAGAGCATGAAAGAAAACTACGCAGAATAAATCGGTATGCTTGGATTTAAAACCCAACCGAAGGAATCAGTTCCGGATGCCATATGGGTTCGTTTAATCAATACATGGATTTGTTTTAGGTTTGGACGTTTACGACCAAATGCTCTAATCGCACATCAATAAGTGACCCAGGGTGAATGTTAGTTCAAGGTTACATGTGATAAACCATACCGTTTGTCTGAACTGATTTGGATTTCACAGCCTCAAATTATGAATCAAATACCCACTCGTCTGAACTCGTGTTAATCACAAAGCAAATTGTTAACTTCATTATTATTACAATAAAATAGTGCGTTTTTTTGCATAGCTTACCCCATCCTTGGTCATGTAACCGACCAACATCGGGCCAAATATCCCGGGCAACGTGGCTACGGTGTTCGTGAGTGAAATGATATTCCCTGCATTGGTGGGCGCGATACAAAGCCAGTCCAGAGCCGGGATCACGAGAGGTTGGGTGTCGGGTGGACCACACACACAAAACAAACAGAACAAAAAAATCAAGAATCACGTGTTTGAAAACTGCTTTCCGATTACATTCAGTGGAACCAGTCCTATTTGCAAAGTGAAACAACTGGAGGAAGCGCGTATCCGTGTTAGTTGAATAAAAAACAAACAGGAGGAATAGAAACGCCTGAGACACATGATGATGTTTCTCACCACCTTGGAGACATGAAGTCGGCTCTCAGGATAGCCCCAAGAGTGATCAAACGGTTTGGGCGCCATGGACAGCGTGCGTGAGTTCTCATAAGGAATGCACTAAACATAAAAGCTATTTCGGTATGGTGAACCGGAAACTGGGTAAGCCTCCGCTCACGGTTACGGGAATCGGACAACTTACACCCTTGCAGACACCACGTGCCGCGTTATATATGCAGTAGAAAGTCAGTAAAGTTGTCTGCCACTATTAACATCCAAGTTATTCCGCTTGAAGAAGATAGCCCAGATGAAACAGTGATAAAAAGCATTAATCAACTAATAAGTGGATTACCACGTGCAGAACATCAAATTTACTTATTTGTATGCGCACTTTACAGCTCAGATTATAATTAGTGAATGATTGTTCTTCAGTGACGAGCCCAAAACAACGACCTTTTGAGAATCCTCCCCTGGCAATAATTTGCGTGTGCTATAGGACGCAGATGAACAGGTTTGCTTTACATCAATCATAGTTCATTCATTATAACCTAACGAATTGTGTTATTCATTCGATTGATTCAGGGAATAACTTCACATCCGACGTGTCGGTGACCGTACCGGATGCGATTTGTACGACTCGTGGTTCACTTGTCGCAATCAATACACAGCGAGTCCAATTATGTATGAGGCAACGTCGTCTGAAATCGCAATCTTCATCGGAGCTCAATTCTTTTCGCACGAGAATTTGGCACTTTGTTGTGCAGAAACTTTTGGTGACCTACCTCAAATAGACCAAGCCAATCATGCACACATCAAATCTATGCGAAATTCCGGAAACAGACTAAGCAACACTGTGATCTTGAGACCTGAGACTAGCGGAAAAATCATTATATTGAACTGTGATGATTGAGTAATGTAAACGACAACGAGAAGGATACAAGAAAGTAAAGAGGGCGATAATTATCGAAAAGCCTGGAGAATAGCATCAGAAATCGAAAGCGGAGTATGAAAAACTGATCCTAAGTTATGTGAGCAAAGCAGATAGACCATTGCAAACTGTAAACAATACGATCGGACAATCATCCGTTGGCTGTGAAAAATCGTATAGTCGACCACAAATTCACATGCATACGCTGTTTGCGAGACGCCTTTGAGTTCGTTCAGTAGCCTCAGTGGGATTAGAACCCAAGCCGAACCCCCAAACGAGGCTACTGAACTTTTCACAAACCCAACATAAAACTTCAATCTGCCAAACAACCATTTGCACAATTAACCTTCACTTAGTATTTAGTCGATTTACAGTCCGGACCTAAAATAGCTGATTCACCAGTCGAATTGAGAAACGGCACACAATGAACACTCGAAGGGATTTGTTCTGAAGCACACAATAGAAAACCGGCTAAAACCCAAATCAGTCACTACCGAAAGGAAAAGATGTTTGAAACGATGTTTTTTAAAGACGATCCAGGCAGAGGTTTACTCAGAAGACGAGTAGAGAAGCAAATCACTTACACATGTCCATCGACCATCAAAAGTGCGAGGTGAATGTTCAACGAATCTTAAGTGTATACTACTATTTTTCTGCGCTTAATTCATGAAGATATACTCAGTAACTTCCACATGGTTGCCAATTTACGCTGGCTGTGCGGATTAGTTAAATAGAGGGCATCGAAAGACGATATTTAGCGTGATTGTGGCCCGCTTATCAAAAATCCGTCACTGAACAAACGAGTGCGTTCGGAGTGATCTGCAGAGTGCCGGATACTAAATTGAAACACTTAAGACAACGCCACCTTTCAACAGCAGATGCACCTGCAATCATACATAAATACAGATATATATATATATATATATATATTGAGAAAACGAGTCGGTGAGCGAAAAACTGTTTTCGATTATTCGTAGTCATACTGTTACATATAGTGGAAAAAATGGTTACATAATGATAGCCATTGGCTCAATCTAAGGTCATTAATCAGAGAGAGAGTAGAGGATGTGTATGGGTGCGTGTATATGTATATCTATACTTTTCTCCTCGAATAGTGATAAAGACAACAGTTCTCTTTGCCTCGAATCTTGAAAACTAACGGATCAACATTTGGCCCTAGTCGTGCCACTTGAAATGTGCTCAGCGAAGTTTTCCAATTTTTCAAAAACAACACTCATCTTTCCGTCTGTGCTCCGCCGAAGACATTAAAACTAAGCATTTGCACTTAGTTCATTCCCGTTTTATTTCATTGAACTCGTCACATTCTTGTTTAACACCTACGCATATGCAATTGTGAGATGTTCCAGAAAGACGGGACAGTTTTTCTCAATTTCGAATTCCAAGTTTCACGACTTGAATACCTATCCGATTAGGTTCGCTTTATTCATCAGATTGTGCAACTGTTTTTGAAGATAGCAACATCCTCTCCCACCCGTTTTCGACCTGGATGAGGTATTGCCAACATGATCACCTTACCGGTATTCAACTAATGAGTACACGAGTTCCCCAGTTGGAAAGTGTTTCCATCATTTTTCCGTGTATTTTACATGCACAAGTCATTGCACTACAATAAAAGTGCAATGTGACGAATGTACTAGTGACCATGGAAATTGTGATGAAGTGAAAAAAAGAGATGATTGACAAATAGCGAAACTTAGCCATGAAGCCAAACCCATAGATATTACTTTTCACCTCTCTTGGGTGACAGCAAGGTTAGCGACAGGACGTACGAGATAAACTAGTGATGTTGCAATCAGAGGAACACCGAAATTCGTCCATAGCTGTTTGAAGCACCCGGACAAATTACTCGTAAACGTCGGGTAAAACCGATTAGGACAACATCTTCAGAACTAATGATATAAAAACGCAACCATTGGGTGGTGGGAATTATCTTTTGAAAACGCTTCCACATCTACTTAACACGAGCAACGAGAATCTATCCCCCCCCCTCGCTGGGAATGCGGCGGAATATCAAAATTGGATACCACTGAGGTACATGTATTGTTTGACACGAGGAAATTTGCATACGTATGAGACGTACCGGCAAATTTTGGTGCCAGATCCACCGTGTTTGCACTGTACCCGGAAGTGGCAAATCCCATAAGACCGATACTGGTCGCTAGTAGAGCAACTGACGCCACGCGCCGACAACCGAGGTAGCTCACAATCAATAGTCCAGCACCCACACCGCCAAGAGCTTGTGGATTGGTAAGCAGTAGCCGATCCCAAGGAGCGAATAAGTGGAATTATGTAGGGGTTAGATAGAAAGAGACACAGAGAGAGAGAGGAATGCAACAGCTTGCTTGCTTGTTATTTAAACAAACCGAAAACGACACCAAATGATCATCATCCTTGAAGTAAAATCTAGAGTTATTCATCATTCTGGTGAGAGATCACCCGGAATGTAGAACTAGATTTCAGTTTCCAAAAGCATACATGTAAACCGATAGCTATGGGTTGGCAGTATTTATTTCGAACGTTTTCTCTCAAATTGCTATTCGAATTGGCGCGACTTTGAGTGCCACTTTAGAAATTGTAGTAGTTCAAAAGTTGTCACTTGGAATTAGAAAATAATTTTTATCGAGCAGCACAACTTTTTTATACGGTGCAATGTAAATATACCGATGAATGATACTTTTTTGTCTTAACCAAATTGACCAATTATGTGAATACAAAAGGATCACTTAAAAGATCCCGTCTTGAAGGGAATAAAAATTGATTCAAGGAAATGTGAAATTTGACCTTCGAAAATCGGCCTCGAGAATCAACGTATCTGAGAGGTGCTTAAATCTGACATCACAGGTCCTGAGTTGTGCAAGCGCGTCGATGTAAACGTAAGCTTAACTTGTAGCATAATCAAGAAATTTTTCCAGAAAGGCGTAGAAAGAAACCCAATAACACTGAAACAATATGATGACTAAATTCGTTGCTAGCGGAGAAAATCTGCAAGATTGAGGATAGTCCGGACAGATTCTCTCAAACACTGTTGGTCAGATGATGACTGAATTCAAATCGCGGCTGAGACCAGCTGATAAAAAGCTGTTATTGAACGTCCAACAAGAAAGGACACATCGATTTTGCAAACAAATTCAAATCGTCCCGCTCGTATGTACTATCTTTGTGTACCGGGTAGAATCCGGACCGTAAAACACTGGTTTGGGAGCCGAAACCCCACACGGAAGCTGGTCAGCGGCTTGCGTGCCTCATGGTATGTATCAAATAGTTGTTCTATTTTATTCCAGATTGCGGATATGATGTGTATTATTGAGATTTCTTACGGCTAAAATGTAATTAACTGTGAATAAATATTCGTTTGCCATAAGAAAGACCCGCACAAGTATATACATCTTATTGAGTAACTTCCATTCATTAATATCCTCAACTGCTTCTCCTTGCCTCATGGATTGATCGCCTCCGGTAACCTCAGTATAGTCGGGGTGGGTGTTCTGGAATTGTGACAGGTCACCATCTCCTTACACCTAGCAAAATGCTCCTATATGACCAAGAGTCTCAAATGGCGGTGGTTCTCCTACCAAAGTGAAAGGACTAAAAGCCGACATCCGGAGCTACAACCGGGTTGGTGAACCATTTGCAGTTCACTTAGGGGAGTTGGCTAAAAACCCTGATTCCAAACCAACCAAGAAAAGGCGTACAAACCACACGCACACCTTCCTGGTCGCGGCAGTGGTCACCGGCTCAACTGGGCATGGAGGTGTATTGGGCACCTTGGACGTTTGACTGCGTCCGAAGGGTGTATGATCCAATGAACTGGGCACCGGCCCCCAATAGACGGTGGACTCAAAGCTCCGTCCTGTCTGTCGTCTTGCAGGTCTGGCTTTCTAGCCAAGGGCTTCGGGTGGGGACCCCGAGGTTATCCTCCTTCCTCGGCCAGGGCAACCGAGAAGTAATATGCCCATACAACCTATGAACACATTCTTCAGATTTCTTTTTGTTCATATGTTGTGACACGTTCGGCAATTCTCTGTAATTGGTTACGTGTTGAAATAAAAAATAATACTGATTTATCGAATGGGTAGCCGGAATACAACATCCAAAACACACCGCACGAATGTAGAACGGTATTTGTTGGTAGCTGAATTGAATCGAAAGGTGGACGAGATCGCGGCTCAAACGTACCGACTAGATTGTTCAATTTTCGCACCCATGTAACCGAGAGTAAATGACGTGCAATGAGCATATCCGAGGTTTGCGCGACCGCCAATGCGACAATGATTTGTACCACGTACGGTATGGACGAGAGAATTCCATTCTGAATTTAAAAGATAAACATGCCATTCCAGTGGAGGTGAAATAAATCTGCAAAAATCTGTGTTCGAGAGTACCGAAAGCGAGATTTAATCAGAAAATTATGGGTATTTCTGTGCAACCCATCCATCAAACGAGATGCACAGAAGGGTTTGGGAAGTAACAATGCCTGGTCAGATAAATTCGAGATTCAGATCAAGGCACGAACTGGGTAAAAAGTGATTCTGAGACAAAGAGCACAAAAAGATATCAAAAGGTGTACGGTGAAACACACAAAACTTTTTTGTTATTCCAGATTCTTCCATTCTCCTGCGTTAAATTGTTTCACCCCCCTTTTCACCATGTTCTGTATTCAAATCCACCTTTCCCCTTTCATTGTTATTGTAATGATCGTTGTTTCATTGGCACTATGTTTGTCTACAAGCCGGTGGTAAATATATATATCTGAGACATTCCACTTTGCTTCAATGTGACATCTAAGTCAGGTTAAGAGGGGTGGGGAGGGGGTGGGAGA